AAGATAAAGGCTTTCAGAATCTCTGTACAGGTGGGTGTGGATATTATTATTAAATATTCCATCTATATTGGAAGCTAGCGGGGCTTCCCTGATGGCTCAGTGGGTAAAAAAAATCTGCCTGCAATGCAAGAGACACAGGAGACGTGGGTTTGATCCCTGGGTTGGGAAGATCCCCTGGAGGAGAAAATGGCAACCCACTCCAATGTTTTTGCCTGAAAAATCCCATGGACAGAAGAGCCTGCTGGGCTACAGTCCAAGGAGCTGCAAAGAGTCACTGAGCAACTCAGCACACACTGGAAGCCATACCGCCCAGTGGTTGTCTAACACGTGCTGTCCAACGAGAAGAGAATATAAGCCACGTGTGTAATTTAAAAATTTCTAGAATTCACATTAAAACGAAGTAAAAAGAAGCAGGTAAAACAGTTTAAATGATAAATTTCCATTCCCAGCATAAGTCTGGGTTGTGGGGGAGTTGGGGGAGTCCCTGCCCCTAGGGAAGGAAGCTGGGAAAAGGCTCTGCAGAGTTGGGGTAACTCTGGCTTCTTACTGGAACCCACTGAGTCCTGCGGATGCATAAGGCCACCAAGACCCAGAAACCTGAGAATGCCTTTTAGGAAGCATGGGGTTGGGATTCGGTGGCCACTGTGTGCAGCAGGGAACAGCGGAACTGACAGCTGCCTTTGGGAAAGAGGGAGAGGAAGGGAGAATTATCTGCTGCACTTCTTGGAAGCTGAAGACCTCAGGTAACAAAGCGAGTGCCAGCGAAGGAATCTCCTCTTCCCAATGGGCCCCGCAAAACGTAGCGGAGATTTCAGGGCTCCTTAGAGGAGACAGGTGATCCGATATCAGGGTGATGCAAACGCAGAAGGCAGACTCCTGGGGGATCCCCTGACTCAGGTACCTCCCGGGCACAGCGCACCCTGAGGCCCTTGGAAACACTGGCTTCCGATTGGCGACCCGGGATAGTAGTCTTGCAACCTTCTTGGCACCGAGGCGGAGAGTTGCCGGTTCCGTGATTCGAAGCATTCCCTGTGCCGGGCTTCCCTACCCAACACACACACACACACACACACACACACACACACATACACACCCCTCCCGCACCACCTCCCACTGCACCCACGCACGCACAGAGACGCCCACTCCCACACCAAACACCTGCAGCTCTCTGGAAACGACGAGTGTACGGTGCACGTTGGGGCTGAACTCCGCTGCGGGAAGTGCCGCGCTGGGTCGGAGGCGCACCGGAGAGCGCGCAGGCCACTCTCGGGTTAGCCGGTGGGTTGGGGAGGGGCTGAGGGAGCCGCGCCCCTGGGACCCGGCAGAAGGCGGTGGACGTGCAGTTCCCTTAAGGAATAACTTTTTCGTCCATCCCCACTCCGGAGTCTGGAGGCTCCGCTGTGGCTCGGAGGCGCACAGCCTCCTTGATCACCATCTGTAAGCTGAAGAATCCCAAGGTGGTGCGCTCAGAACGCATCTCTTCTGACCCCACCTGGGGTGGGTAGGGAGAAGGGGTGAAAACTTTCAAATTATAGTTTGCGGGGTTAGAGACAGCAAACTGTTCAGAAGAGGTCTCTGGCCGCCACCAGTCCTGCTTGGCTTTCCTTCAAAAGAGGCTCGGGCTCAGCGCGCACTGCTCCTGTGTCTCCTGGCCGCCTTCCCTTCACGTCTCCTCCTGGACTCTCCACCACTCCTACCAACCCTTATCTTTTATTCCTTTCTTCCCCCCACTCCCTATCCCACTCATCTTTCAGGGATGGAGTGTAGCCTCCTGGTACGTGTTGATGGGGATCCCCGCGCGCTGATCCTTACAGCCCCCCGCCCCCACCTCTAACCCGCTCCCCGGGCTCGGAGAGGAGGCACCCGCGTTGGCTGGCAGGGAAAGGACGCCACCCGGGTTTGGGGCACCGCGACCCCGCCGCAAAGTGCAGCAGGAGCCAGGGTGGGGAGGCCGGGCCGCACCGTGAGGTCGGCTGCTTTGCATTGGCTTTCACTCCGGAGTAACACGCTAGTCTGCTTCACTTCTATCCGGTTTCCAAGTTTTTGGTGGAGGTGGTTGGGTGCAGGGTGGATAGAGGAGGGGCTGGCTATAGGGGAAGGTGGATCTGAAACTGTACAGAGGCAGCTAAGCCAGAGCCCAGGGGAAGGGAGGGACCGAAACGGCAAACCGAGGCTCAGGGACAAAGAGGAACGCGACCGCCCGGACAAAGTCCGAGTTCTAGACGCTTGCAGAGCGCGGCAGGACGCCCGCAAGCGAGCTGCAGGCTAGAACCCAGAGGGCTGGGGCGGAAGGAATCCTTGGGCCTCGACGTGGCACACTCCTGAAGCTCAGGTTGGGTCCTCGACAGTGAGGGTCAGAGAGACCCGAGGGTCCACCAGGAGGGCCCAGACCGGCCGGTCAGCCTCAGTGCTCTCGCAGAAGACCAGAGTGTCCGCGCGAAGGAGGGAGCTGACAGATAGGATTCAGTGGCACCGGGAGAGCCCCGTGCTTGGGTCCGGCTCTGGCCGCCAGGAGCCTGAGCCATAGTCTGCTTAGATCCGAGAAGGCCGACCCAGTGTAGCCTCGAACAGTCCCCCTGCAGAGCCGTGATCTGAGTGCACTCTGGCTGTCGGAGAACGGGGCAGGGACCCGCAGGGTGCGTGTCCGGAGCGCCCAACTTCGAGCAGGGGCGGGGCGGCGGCACGGCCCGGACTCTCCTGGAAAACAGCCTAAACGTTTCTGCGGAGAGCACGCTTCGCGCAGAGGACTGAAGACCGGCTCTTCCAGCATTACAGCTGCTGATCCAAACCTTGCAGTCCCAGTCTTTGTTCAAATATATTAATTTTATTAAACATAGGTGGCCAGGGTCACACCTCACTCCAGTCTTACCGTGGGCGCAAGAGAACAGAGTTTTCAAAATTAACTGGAGGCAAATATGTTACCTTCTCACACTTAAACCACATCTGGCCGCCGCCGCATGAGCGTGCCCACCTGACCCTACGCGTGGCGTCGGTCTTGCGGGGGGGGGGGGGGGTCCTGCATTAGCGGCGGCCGGGACACACTCACCCTGTGCGCGCTTCTCCTGCCTTTCGCTGCGCTCTTGCAAAGCCCGGAAGAGCAGAAGGCGACGCCGGAGGCGGGTCTTGTCTCCGGTTACAGCGAATTTGCGATTTATCCGGCTTCTGCGCCCGGGCGGGGGTCTCCAGAGCTCAAATTTCGGCCACCCTGTACCCGATAGAGAAGGTGCGCAGCGCCCAGGCACGCTATGGATGCTTCAGTGCGGTGCGCTCAGGGGTCTCCATCTGCGCTCGGGGTTGGTTTCTCATCGGACAACCCTGGGGCCCCTCGCAGTGGCGTTTCCGCTTTCGGTCGTCCGTCGAATTCGGCCTAGGACCTTCCCGTGCAAGGAGCCGCCTCCAGGCATCCCTCCCTGCTCCTCCGACCCCCGACCCCCGGAGCCAGAGCGCGGAGTTTCATGGGGGGAAATCAGTGCGGAACTCGGGGCTGAGTCTGAGGACCGAACTGAGAACCTGTGCGTGGCTCTAGAAGAAACTGTCTTGGGCTCCGGTGCACACACAGACTACGTTCCGGGCCGCTTTGAGTTGGGCCGGTTGGGAAGACCCAGCTGGGTCCGAGTGGTCAGCCGAGACTGCGCTGCGGGCCCCGCGATTCGGCGCGTCTTTGCGCACAGTGGCCACTTGGAGTCGCACTTTATGCCTGTTTGAGCCTCTCCTTCTCCGGCTGACGCCGGGATCTGCTTAATCGTTACAAAACGTTCAAACAAAAACAGGGCCGGTTTCCCAGCAGCCGGGAGCCATCCGGAGCACCGTCCTGCACTGGCCTCAGTGCCCAGCCACGGAGAACTCAGTGGATTCTCCGCGTTTGGCTGGGGAGAGGGCTTCGGAACCTTTGGACCGGTTCTTCTCCTGCTCCCTTCATCTCGTGCATTTGTGGGTGGGGTATGCGGGGAACCGAGGCCGATCTCGGGACTCGGCCGCCGCACCCGCCAGGAGGGGGACGGCTCCCGCTTGGCCTCGAGGAGGGTCCCCTGAGACTAAGAGTTAGATTTGAACACAACTCTTGGAGTCCCGACCCCGCCCCCCCCCCAACACACAAATATGCGCAGACCTGCAGAAACACAGCCACGCACTGCACACACGCGGCCGCGCGGCACACGGAGCATCTCCCACCGAGCAGGGGACGCTTGGGAACAATGGACTCGAGAGGTGTCGTCCCGGTGCTCATTCTGAACCTCTGGAGCTTGGGGGACACGGGTTGGGGGAACCAAGGGTAAAGAGGGAGGAGAGCTCGCGAAGGAAGGGGTGGAGGCGGCGGCCAGGCTTGAGGGGCGGAGGGGGCGCGCACGGAAGGCGAGCGGGCGGGGGCCGGGACACCGAGGGGGTGGGGTGGGGGCTGGGCCCGGGCCGGCGGTCCCTCTCTGCTTCAGCCCTCCGCCAGGCCTCGGCGGCTCTCCGGCTGCTCGCGCCGCCAGTCAGCTGACTCGGGGGGCGGAGGAGCTGTCAGGCGCGCCCCGCCCTGCGCCGCCCGGCCGCGGGGCCCGTACAGCCATTGGCCAGCGCGCCGGGCTGCCCGGGCCCCCGCGCCCCGGTGACATCAGGGAGGCGATAAAAGGCAGCAGCGGCGCCGGATCCCGCACAGCTGCACCGCCGGGCTGCGAGCGGCTGCGATCCGGAGAGCCCCAGAGCAAGAGAGCTAGAGAGCGAGCGGCGGGCGCTTGCCCGGCGCCTCCCCTCCGCCCGGCCGCGCGCCCCGCTCGCTTCTCCACCCACTCCCGGCCCGGCCCGGCCCCGGCGCGGCCACAGCCCCGAGCTCTGGGGCGGCGCAGGCAGGCTCGGGACTCTCCGGCGCGCCGCCGCGTCCCCAGACAAAGGCTTGGCCGGCGGCCCCGGCCCGCTGCGCCCTCGGCTCCTCGCCTCCCGGGCTCGCCGCTCTTCGCCCCCGCTCCCGGCTCGGCGCGTCCCGGCCGGCCGCAAAGTTTCCCGGGCGGCGGCGGCGGCTGCGCCTCGCGTCAGCGATGGCCGCGGAGCTGAGCATGGGGCCCGAGCTGCCCACCAGCCCGCTGGCCATGGAGTACGTGAACGACTTCGACCTGCTCAAGTTCGACGTAAAGAAGGAGCCGCTGGGGCGCACGGAGCGCCCGGGCCGGCCCTGCACGCGCCTGCAGCCAGCCGGCTCGGTGTCGTCCACACCGCTCAGCACGCCGTGCAGCTCGGTGCCCTCGTCGCCCAGCTTCAGCCCCACCGAACAGAAGACTCACCTGGAGGACCTGTACTGGATGGCGAGCAACTACCAGCAGATGAACCCCGAGGCGCTCAACCTGACGCCCGAGGACGCGGTGGAGGCGCTCATAGGCTCGCACCCGGTGCCCCAGCCGTTGCAGAGCTTCGACGGCTTCCGCGGCGCGCACCATCACCACCACCACCACCACCACCACCCACATCCGCACCACGCGTACCCCGGCCCCGGAGTGGCTCACGAAGAGCTGGGCCCGCACGCGCACCCGCATCATCACCACCACCACCAAGCGTCGCCGCCGCCGTCCAGCGCGGCCAGTCCCGCGCAGCAGCTGCCCACCAGCCACCCCGGGCCTGGCCCGCACGCGGCGGCCGCGGCGACGGCGGCTGGTGGTAGCGGCAGCGTGGAGGACCGCTTCTCCGACGACCAGCTCGTGTCCATGTCCGTGCGCGAGCTGAACCGCCACCTGCGGGGCTTCACCAAGGACGAGGTGATCCGCCTGAAGCAGAAGCGGCGGACCCTGAAGAACCGGGGCTACGCCCAGTCGTGCAGGTATAAACGCGTCCAGCAGAAACACCACCTGGAGAATGAGAAGACGCAGCTCATTCAGCAGGTGGAGCAGCTTAAGCAGGAGGTGTCCCGGCTGGCCCGCGAAAGAGACGCCTACAAGGTCAAGTGCGAGAAACTCGCCAACTCCGGCTTCAGGGAGGCGGGCTCCACCAGCGACAGCCCCTCCTCTCCCGAGTTCTTTCTGTGAGTCGTGGCCGCTCCCGGCCCCCGCCCTTGCCCCGGCCCGGACTCCCCCGTCCCGTATCCCAAGTCCCGGACTCCCCCGGACCCTGTCCCTGCCATGGCCCCAGCCTTGACCTGTTCGACTGGAGGGAGGAAGGGCGCGCGGGACGCGGGCGACGGGAGGGCGCGCGGGCAGGCAGGGGACCTTGGCCAAGGCGAGCGCGGCGCGCGCCAGCGCCGCCTCTTAGACTCGAGCAGAGCCAGAGAGAGGCGAGGGGGGTGGGAAGTCCCAGAGCAACTTTTCTCCAGGCTGGAGGGCGGCAAGGCATAGTCGCGAGGAGTCGCCAAGGCCGTCTGGAGACTCCTGGCTTCCTGAACTTTTGCGCGTTAAGCCGGGGCAGCTGCCTCGCAGTCCGGAGCGTAATCCAGCCCAGCAACAGAGCAGCGAGGAGAGGAAAGGAGAAGGGACCCTGGCGGCCCGTTCCGGCAGGCGCGAGGCGAGGCTGAGCGAAGGAAGGACAGAGGCGGACCTGTCTTTTCCAGGGTCCGGAGAACACTGGCTTTCAGCCCCGAGACGCGGGCCTCAATTAGGACGTTCTGCGCGCAAATCTCATCAATTTTATTGCCTGCTCGATTATATAGAAAAAATACGAAAATCTGCATTAAAAATATTAATCCTGCATGCTGGACATGTATGGTAATAATTTCTATTTTGTACCATTTTTCTTGTTTAACTTTAGCATGTTGTTGATCATGGATCATAACCCCCTTGTTTTCTTTGGGTGAGAAGGATCGCAGTTCGGAAACCCCGGCGGGCGGCCGCTTGTCCGGTTGCAGTCTATCGGCTGTCGGCATGTAAATACCCGCCCCGCCAAACCGCTTAGAGAACGCGGCAGCAAGTGGAGTGTCTTTGTTTGGGTTTATTATTATGGCTTTTTTTTTTTCTTTTGTAAGTAGAAAAAAAAAAGTTCTGGGTTTTTGCATCAGAAAACAACTTTGTCTTGGGGCACCCCTGGAAGTTGCATGTTTTCTCCCTTTCCCCCACCCGCTTTGGTCCTCTCTTCCTCATCGTTTGTTTTAGTTTTCAATTTTGTTTTTGGTGGGAAAAAGAGGACTGGGGTCCCAGCTACTGAGTACCAGGGCAGGGCAACTGCTGAGTACCAGTGTGTGCAGAGTTTCACAACCGGGTCCTCCTGTCAGCTGGTCTTAGGGCTCAATTGACACCCCTAACAAGAAAAGAAAGGAAAAACAGGTCTTGTTTGCTTTTTATTGCAACCAGAATCACTCCCAGGGTCCCCACGAAACCCTCCAGGCTGGCACTGGCACTAATTGCTGGGGCCAAAGAGCTCCTAGGGCAATCGGCTTCAGCAGTCCCGACCACCCAACTTAGGTCGAACCAACCACCACACTCAGAAAATATCAGAAACCCCAACATTGGCAAGACATTTTGCAACTTTCAAGTGCGTTCTTTAGGGCTATATGTTATGTGTGTTTTCTTTCCCTGCTTTTGAGATGGCGGGCGAGTTATTGGTGGTGTTACCCCCTCCCCCACCCCTTCAGTTGTATAGTAGTTATAGGGAAGATCTGGGTGTTTTTCTTTATTATTACTTTTTTTCTCCCCTGCAGGTCAGTAAGAGGATTTAAGTTGCACTGACAAAAATACCAAAATGAAAGCGTATTTTTTAGTTCTCATTTGAAATTGCTGGCGCTGCTGGCCGGATGCATTTTTGAGTTTGTATTAGTTGATAAATTAACAGTAATAACAAGATTGTATAAACCGCATGGTGCTTGCAGTTTTAAATATTGTGGATATTTGTCCTGCATTGGAAACGAGCTTCGGTTTTTACAGATTCAACTGTGTTGAAATCAAATTTGCCACAACAGAAATTGTTTTTATTTCATGTACAATAAGGGATCAATTTCAAACCCTGCTTATGATATGAAAATATTAAAACCTAGTCTATTGTAGTTTTATTCAGACTGGTTTCTGTTTTTTGGTTATTAAAATGGTTTCCTATTTTGCTTATTAAAACCATGGAAATGGTGTTTATTTAGAGGATTCTGCGTTCGCCTGACTTTTCTTCTCTTGCCTCTTCAAGAGTCGACCCAATTTGAGGGTACTCTCACCCCTTCCCTGGCCGGTGGAGAAATAGCCCAAGTCTGGGCAGACCTCTCCGTTGAGTGTGTGGTGAGTGTGTGTGTATCTGAGTCTTAAATGTGTTTTCTGCTTCTCACCCTAGGTACAGACACCGGTCAGGAGCCGGTGTTCGTGAGCAGAGAGGGGGCACATGCCACTTTGGTGGAGCTTTCAGGCTTGGGCACCACGATTGGTTTGCTAGCCTGCTGGCTCTCAGGTTGGCCAAAACCAGGAAGCTGGGAGTTGTCACCCTGATGGGGAAACAGGGTATTTCTGGCAGTCAGGCTCACTGGCCCTGCCGTGTCCAGCCTGGTGCATCTGCTGGGAGCAACCAGAATTGCCCTGGAATGCCTGCTCTGAGTGGAGGCCCAGCCCCTTCTCCCCGCAGGGCCTGTGGAAGCAAGTGGCATCTAATATGAGGTCTTGGGGTGGAAGACCTTTCAGACAGCAAACCTGTTTGCTGCCACTTGGGCCTGGAGTGGTCAGCCCCCAGAAGGATCAAACCAGAATTTCAATGACTCCCTAAACCAGGGGTTGGGGCCATTCTAAGCCAGCAGCTCTGACCATAAGTCCGTGACTGGGAGGTGGTCCCGGAACCTGTCCTTATCCAGACTCTTAGAGAAGGCAAGGTCACCTGCCTCGGTTGTCCCGAGCCCCTCTCAGCCCTCTTAGAACGCCATCTATAATTCTGGGTAGGAACCACCACCCTCCCACCACCTCCAGAAGAATTCTCTGCTGCTTTGGCAACAGCAGGTTCCAAGGGATTTCTGATCTCCTTAGACACAGTATCTGCAATTCGGGAGACTCAGCCTTCCAGTCTTGGGTCCTAAGGTGGAGCTTCAGTACTTGAATGGGGGAGACGCAGGAATCCCAGAAGGTAGAACCCCAGCCAGGGACTAGAGCTGGAAAGAGCCAAGGAGAGGAACGGGGAGGGTGAAACTACCAGGGAATAGGTTTTGGCCTAGTCCCTGGAGACCTGGGATTGGTGGCCAGGGTATAAGAAAGGGGAAAATCCCTATAGTAAGGATACAAATGCCAGCAGTAATTTACACTTAGCAGTGCTGTGGTGTGGTTTAGCAGGAGAGAAGTCGAAGATCCTGGCTCAAGTTAATTCTAAGGCCCAGTTCATTTCACCAACCCAAAGAGGTATATGGCAGGGAAGGCTTTGGCTGAGGGGAGAATGGAAGTCTGGCAGTGGGGTGACTGCCTGCGTGCGTTCAGCAGAAGGGACAAGGGGCTATGATTAGTTGGGTAACTGTGTGCACAAGTGCACATAGAATAAGAGTGTGCCCCACTTGGACAAGCGTATCCCCTTTAGGGCAAAATAAGGTCTGGCAGGTGGAGTTCTGGAAGAAACCAGCCAGGGCATCCCTGTGGGACCAGGGGGGATCCTCAGGACTCCGTGGTTGGAGACTTGACTCTCTTTGGAATCCTCCCAAGCAGAACTGGCACCCTCCACCTCTCGAGTCACCTGGACTCTGCCAGAAAAGCCTCGGGGCCTGGGGAGGGTCGCAAACTCCAAAGCACCGGTTTTCTTTCCCCAGAGCACAGAGACACAGCCCAGCGACCGATGTCATCACAGTGCCTCCAGAACAACGCGGTGGCTCAGGCCGGTGTAGAGTGGCCAAGTGCGTCTCCGAGAAGCTGACAGTCCCACGACACAGTCCTAGTGACACATTGACACACAGATACACAGACAGCCCCATCTCGCATCCACACGGATGCCATCGCAGACATAACTCCCTGCGCCCCGTCATTGGAGCACCTGCCCGCACAGGCGCACGCAGGCTAAAGCCGGGCAGAGGCGGGCAGCGCGCCGGAGGAGCCCGGGACCTCGGGAGCCTCCAGGGCGGGCTCGTCCAGCAGGCAAGTCCCGGCCAGCCGCCTCGACGCAGATCCTGCGCGCAGATGCTCGGGGAAAGCGACCGGTTCCCGACGTCCTTCGGCTCGTCCCTCCCCGGCGGCGCCTTGCGGACCGGAGGCTCCTTGCGGTTCCCACCACTCCCCGCCGCCTGCGGGCTCCTCGCGACCCTCCGAGACCCGGGAGGGGAAAAAAAAATCTTCCCCACGCCGGGAGTCCTCCACGCCAGCACGGGTCCCACGCAGACAGCTGGCGCCAGCCTTTGGGGACACACGCCGAGACAGACACGCGGGCCCCGCGACGGAGGCTCCGCTGCAGCCCGCGCCCCGGGCTGGGGGAGGCCCCGGGCGGGTCGGGCGCGTCGGGCGCGCAGGTCCCCTCTTGCTACCCCCAAATCTCGCGGGTTCGCGGGAGGCTGTGCTGGTTGGAAACCAGCCGACGCTGCCACCTTCCGAGAGGCCGATCCGGTAAGGCGCCCGGCGGCTTCCGAGGGTCCTCCCCGCACAGGCTCTCCCTGACAGCCTCCTGCGTCCTGACTTCTTTGCCATATTCTTTTCCTCAGCCCTTCCTGCGGAAATGATCATCTCAGAAAACTTTCTCTCTCCGTTTCCTCTCCCCGTTCCTTTTCTTTCTTATCGCGGCGCAGCCTGGCAGAAAAGAGCGTTAGGAGCGGGCTCCGAGGTGCCCGGTAAGTGAGGAGTGGAGGCCAGAGCCTGGCATCCCCGAATCCGCACAGCGCCTGGAGCGCCGGCCAGCTGCTCTGGCTCCCGCCTGCCTGATCCCGCTACCCGGCCCTTCCCCTCCCCATCTTTCCCAGAGGCTGGGCTGGTGGCTGAGGATGGATCTAGAGCGAGGTGCCCGCTGGTGGTGGTGGCGGTGGTGGTGAAAGGGGGTCCCTGGGGAGCTGGGGCTGGACCCTAAGCCCAGACCCCTCTTTGCAGCACAGCCAGGCTTCCTCCAGTCAGCCCGGGGTCTCTGGGCATTTCTGTGCCAGGACAACCCCCTTCCCTGTCAGAGGTGCCCAGCTGCCCCCCACCCACTCTGGCTGTGCCCTACCCTGGGGGGCCTCCCAATGCGAGCTGCCAAGAACCACACCAGGTCCCCCAGCATGGTCATTTTGCTTTTTTTTTTCTCCTGTGACCTAGAGAAGCGGCTTCTGCCACACCCTGCAAAATCCACAGCCACTCAAGCCCACTCCTCAAGTTCTTTCTCTCTGGCCCCCGAGAAAACAGCTGGGTTGAGAGATTTGACTAGTTCCCTTGCAGGCTTTCAGATGCAAAACCCGCTTCTGAGCCCTTCTGTTTTCGGAAAGGAAAACCCAGAACTGGCATCTTGCGTAACCCTTCCCTCTACAGCCCGCGGTCCGCTGGCCTGGCCTCGAAGCCCTGAGATAGCAGTGTTTGGATTTGTTATGTAAGGAAGGGAGGATTAGAGGTTTGTACTGCTCCTCCTCCCCCCACCAAAATAAAAGTCCTCACAAGGCGCATCGCGTTAAAAAAAAAAAAAAATCAGTGTTTTTTTGCAGCAGGCGGCAGCTCTCTTGGAAGAATTCAGTCTGGGTAGACAAGCTGCTCCCGAGTTTGTGCCCAGCACAATACTTGGGGGAGATGTGCCAGCTTGCAGTGAAGGGAGACTCCTGCGTTCAGGGTGTACCCCGTTCTTGGAAGCAGCTGGTACTTACAGACTCACGAGGACTAGCCTCCTGTTGGGGAAGGCAGATGCTACTGCTGCTGGAATTTTATCCTTTCTCCAATTCCTGCCCCTGGGAGCAAGGTGCCCAGACCCTGGAGAGCACCCCTTTCACCCGGGGAACCCCCATTCTCTGGTCCCTGCAGGCCTTCACCGTGTAGTACATGCATTTCCTTGCCTTACATGTGTTCTTAATATCTTGTACCCTTACCCCTTGTCCTCCACGTATTATCTTAAAAGATGCATTTAGATAAGAAAATCAGAGCTCACTGTTCTCACTTGGAGGGAATTAAATATACGAGAGAAGTTGCCACTCCAATTTGGAAAAGCAGCTACATTATTAATAAGGATTTGTTTTGAAGCAGACTCAGTTTTAGCTGCCTCTCTGCATTCTTTGTCTGTGAAGTTACTTTCATGTGAAATAGCAGCCACTCATTACACATTCCTTTTTGTTGGTATCAAAAAAAAAAAATAAATAAAGGATGATATCCTTTAGATTGGAGGGGCCACCGCAGGGGCAGGGGGAGGAGGTCTGCAGCTTTTGGAAGAAGCCAGTTGCTGTGAGAAGAGAGAGCTGAAGTCCACAAACTCAGTATTTATATTGTTGTGCTTTCATTTTTTGGAGCTCGGGGCCCTTTATCAGGGCTTGCATTTTCTACAGTAATTAGACAAAGATGGGAAGCTAGACGGTGTCCATTTTGGAGCTGGTGAGGGTAGGTGGTCATTGAGCCTGGCTTGTGACTCCAACAGGAATCAGGAACCGAGGTTGTCCTGAGGTTACTCGCAAGTCCCCTAGTTTCTTCTGATCTGTCACTTTCACTGCTCTGACCCTGCCGGGGTTACATGCATCTCTGTTCTTCTGAGGAGAGGCCATGGACCTGGTCTGGTCCAGGAGCAGTAAAGGGCTTCCTGATGCAAGACTTGCCATCTGCCCTCCTTCATGTCCTGGGAATCTGAGCCTGACACACCCTAATCCTTTTCCAGGGACCAGGGGCAAGCCGATCGTAGCACATGTAAGGCCTGACCAGTTCACGAGGTATATCCCATCACGACATTTCACTTGACTCTCTGAGTGTGGACTGCTAGTATCCACACCAGTCAGGGATGGAAAAATAGGCCCAGAGCAGTCATCGCTTACCCAGGGTCATCCAGTGCAGGATCTAGGACTTGAATCCCCACCTATCTGATGCCAAAATTCATCTTTTTGCCACCGAACTCCAAAAGTACACAATGCCTTATCTGAAACACTGGGGAGCGGGGTAGAGCTTAGGGAAAACCATGGACTGGTGGGAAGTAGCCTTTGTGGGGGACAGTTTCCTTTCTAGTTCTCTTTGTAGAGGGCAGTCACTTTCTTGGGGGTATACGTGAGGCT